AGGGCCTTACAAGGTTTTTTTGGTTTTAGCATGCTRCTTCCTTTTCGTGTCTGTGGATTTAGAATTTTGCCGGGGGCAAGCAATCTGCTGGTGCCCTTTCCTTCCTCTCTTATCACTTCCTAAAGCCAGGCCCATCTCTGCAAACCCGTGGGACAGTGATGAGGAACAGGGTTAGAGAATAGTTCATGTCACTGACGTCAAACCAAAGTGTATTTCAGTGTTTGTTTAGTACTTCACAAACTGTAAACTACTCTGTGGGGGTGCTGGAAATAGAAAGAAARCTAAATAAAGACTCTTTGGTTTGGGCTAAGGTAGGGGCTGAACACAAGAGCTTGAATGGGAATCAAAAGCTCACGTGTACCTCAGGCTCCTCCAGAGGCCTTGAGTAAAAGCTGCCACCCAAATTGTCCTGTCTAGACTATTGCTGCCAGAGCRTGGTTTGGGCCAAAGTGTAAGGAGTGAGGAGTCTCAAATCACAARTTACCTTTGCATTTCTTTGCTTGTAAATGAAGTGTATTTGATAGGGAATTTCCAGGACAATAAGCATAGCTGTTTTACAGCTAAACCCTCATACTCAGAAATCACAAGTAGAGCCCTCAAAAGACTCTTAGAGTGGGTATAAACTTGGTKTGACACAATATCTTAGACTAAAAATTTTGAACTGCATTTATTGTTAATCATCCTTCAGAATTCAGCCATCAAGCAGTTCAATTTTTCTGAAAACCTGTGGGCTATCAAGGTATTACCTTTTCCTTTCTTTCTTTAAAATAAAAAGGGGGAGTTTGATGTAATTGCAGGGCTTGCAGGYGTAAAAGGGAAGGATTGCTCTAAGAGCACTGTCACCACAGCCAGTAACACTGTTTTTGGGTAAGTGCTGGACTAGGCCCTTCCTCAGCCTTTCGGGAAACCCAAGGTGTTGATTCCTCTTTCTGCTCTGGTTTCATGAGACTTCTCTTGTGCCTGAAGCCTGTGTTTTGTATCCTGAAAGTGGCAAATGTCAGCCTGAGATCTGGGGAGCAGCAGTAGGCTCTGAGCAGGGAAGCAAACACCCCAATTTATGTTCATTAGCTCAGTCTTCTCCAGCATAGCAGTGGATTTTTCCTAAGGGCCAGCATCCCTTAAAGCTGATGTACTTTAAACAAGTATGGTTCCTGTCATTATGATATGAGCCTTCAGCCCAATAGCCAGGGCAACCATCTGTCTGTGTAAGGTTCCTTCTCTGGAGCAAATGAAGCTGTGGCTCCATCTCCATCCCAGGGCTTCAGCCTGTGGAAGGACCACCAAAGCCTCGTTAAAAAATGTCATTCAGACAGCTTTCCTACTGTTCCTTACCCCTCCCAGCCCCTCAGATTGAGGAGTTCGTTTCCAGTTCCTCTCTGTAACAGACAGATTTATTAGGAGCAGGGGACGGGATGAATTCTATTGTCACACACACTCAGCACCCTCTACAAATGGTCAGAGTGTCAAAGTCAGGACAAAACAAAGGGCCTGTAGCTGGTTTCTCTRCAGACAGACAGACCTGCAGTCCTGCAGAACACAGCTCTTGTCCCTGTCCTCTCATTCAAACCCAAGCTTCCTCCCTCAGCTCAAACTTTCCTTTGTACAGTCAGAGTGACCTCTCACCCGGGCCTTGCCTGCCCAATTTGTAAGCCCTTTAATAATGGAAATCCATTATCCTACTTTGCACATCAAAACACARGCAGGCTCCTCCCAAACAAGAGAACTTGGCAGATGAGCCGTGGGTAAAAAGCACAGTAATTTATACAAATGATGCTGTTCAAAGGTGTCACCTCTCTTTCTCCTTAGCAGAAGGAAAGATTTCTTCCCATCCAAATCTTACAGAAGCAGTGTTTATAATGAATCACTGCAGTGTTAGGTTTTTCCAGGCCCAAGAGCACTCTGCTGTGGRTGTACCATGTAGTAAGGATGCAGCTGGCAAAGCCTCAAGGTGTGCCAGTGCCTCTCCAAGAGCAGGGCCTGGAGAGGGGAGCAGGGCCAGCATTTCCCTTCTGCAGCACTGCCTGTGGTTGGCTGCACTGCATCAGAGCCCTCTTTGGAAGTGCTGCATTGTGTTGATCTCTAAAGGCAGCTCATGCTTGCTGTGATTATGGAGCATCTCACTCAAGTCTCTAATTTGAGCTGAGGATTGTCCAAGTGTCTGTGGCAAATTCTTCATGGAGAAAATGAAATAATTGCCATGTGTTCCAGCTTCCCTTAGAGATGATGGCTTCTAGTATCATTATGGAGGGGGTCAGTGAGTTTGTACAYTTTGCAGTCCCTCATGAGCCACAAATAATGTTTATGAGAGCTCCTTCACTCCCAGAACTGAAGGAGATGCAGTGCACACAGTGGATATTCTGTACCCTGCTCAGGAGTGGGGAGGATTGKCACTGCAAACGTGTGGGCCCTGCTGCACAGTCCCTTTCCAGGGCAGCGAGCCCCTTCCATTGACACAGAGAACCTGCTGGCATCTTTTAGATCTATGTAAATTCTGGTGTTAATGAATTCAGCAGCTTCCTCTTGAAAACCTTTATTGGGTGACTTTCACACTGCCCCCACAGAGCCTTGAAGTCAATGGGAGCACTGGGTGTGGTGAAAAGTCAAGATCAGACCTGTAAATCAGATGATAAAGAGAAGTGAATCAGTAGGAAATGCTTTTGGGGAGCAACATATTTCTCTCCCATCAATTAAAAGCACAGGGAATGGCCCCGAAAGAGCTTCCCTCTGACATGTAAGGGACTATATTTCAACAGCATAGCAATCTAATAGGACTTTCTGGTAGGTTGAGGACATAAAAGCACACTTGTGCTAAATGCAGTCATTGTTCAGGCCATCTAATGAAATCCATTTCTGAAGAAGGATATGCAAATCYGTGTGGTTCTTCTGAGGATTCATTGATCTCTTGTGCACTATTCACATATCCTGGGCAAAGCCCAGTCCCCAGCCCAGTGTGCTATGGCCCAAAAATATTTGATGTGGCYATTCAGGCTCAGCCCTAGGGAACATGTTCTACTGTGTCCAAATCTCTTAGGTACTCTGAAAGCCTCCTGTACCCACTGGCTCCTCCTGAAACATCTGTGCCAGCTCACTGTGAAATTATGTGCCCCTTCTGTTCTTTTTGGTTCTGAATTTATTTCATCAGTGTTATTCCAGCTTTCTTCCTGACTTTTTTCTTCCTTCATTGTTTCATAATCCAGTGGTACCCAGCCCTCTGTGGGTCATAAGTCATCAAAAGGTTGCCTCTGACATCATTGCAAATAAAATAAAAATGCATGAAAACGTGCCTGTGCATGTGGGGAGCCCAAGTGGAGAGACAGAAAGGGCAAACAAACGTGCCAGCTTTTCCTGCTGGCAGCTGCCGTGCTCCTGGTGAGCTGTGCTGGCACGAGGTGAATCTCAGACTTTGTGCCCAGAGGATGRGGTGGGCTTCCATGAAAAGGGATTGGGAAATTGCCAGTGCTGGACATCACCACTCCGGTTGTCTGTGCTCACAGCATTTCCTGTGGTCCTCCCTTGGCCCTGCACCRTGGCTCTGCTTCTGCCACCACCCCATCCTGGGACTTGCTGTGCTTCTGGGGAGGTGTTCAGCAGGTAAGTGCCTTCTTGTGAGCTGTTCCATCTTGTTGCTTGAATCACGAACAGAGGAGCTAATAAAAGAACTTCRGAGTGCTCTGCAGATGGAAGATGTCACACTGGGAAAATCAATCCGCAGATCTGCTCTTTGATGGAATCTAGCTGCAGGCAGATGCTTTCATGTGCAGCAGCAGCATCTTCCCAGACAGATTATTTCCTTGCTCACATTGTGTACAGAGTGCGTAAGCAGCTTTGCGCTGCAGCACCTTTCTAAGCACAACTGGAGTTCCTTTCTCATGCWGGCCACCTCCCTCTAGGGGTGTTTTGGGATGGACAAAAGAGAAAACACACTGGTAGTGGCCATCTGASTGGGTAAATGTGCTCCCAGAATAACAAGTGGCARTGCATGAGGGGATGACAGGAGAGCYAGTCACCCCTCCAGCCAGCCCCAGCACAGTGCACAGCAAGGTAAAGCAGATGAGAGAGCAAATCTCTGGCACATCCAGTTGCTCAGAAGAAAAGGCAGTAACCTGGTCTCTCAGCATTTCCATCTCATTTCTTCCACATTTTTCAAGTGGAAAAATCTTTAAATGCCACTTCCACTGTGCAAGTAGCAAAATGATAAGGATCAGTTGGGAGCTCTGTTCAGACAGCTGTGCTGAAATGATCTGGAGTTCTCAGCAGACAAGGAGACACATTGGAACATGTTGTGGTACTTTGTTCTATTACTCAGTATTGCATGTGTACCTAGAAATGGTGTGAAACTCCCAACAGGCTGAGTGTCCCAGATGCCAAACTCCAAAGAACCTCCATAAACAGAGAAAAGGCTCCTTTTATCCATACAGTTCTCATATCWCACACTGAAGCCATAATAAACCCACCCTGTGAACTTGTAACATTTTTATGAGCCTCGTTTGGAGCAGGTGTTTCTTTTTAGTGAGGTTTTGCTTGGGATCCAACAACTAAAACTAAAATTAGTAAATTGGCACCTAATCTAATGTTCCGTGACTCAGCTACTTTCTCTCAGGTCTATTTGGTTTTTATCTCAATGTCAATTATTGACTATTTATAGCCTTCCGCGAGAGAACTTCTAGCYAGGTCCAGGGTGAGCACAGGAAAATGCAGTGGAGTGTGAGGRCTTGTGAACTTTGAGACCTGAGCTGATATGACCTCCTGGAGCACCTCCCCATCCCTTCTGCCTTTGTAACCCTCTCTGTTCCTCCCATAGYTGTCCTAAACACACCTTGTGGCAATATGAAAAGTGATTTATTTACATGGAAAAGCAACACTGAAATAGCACCAGTGTGTTCTGCCTTTGGTAGGAAAAGCAAGTGGGCTTTGTCCTTTAGAAAAAAAGTTGGGTTATTTTGTTGAGCTTTTCTGTCTTATTTTACAACTSACCACATGTTTTCCTCTCTCCTTTGCAGCCTGCAGCTCTGGAAGCTGGTTTCCACCAGGAGGGGCCACTGTGCCTTTCCCACTGCCTGAGCTCTGACTGCTACACATAATGCAGGAGAGAGATGGCTAAAGAAGGACAGCCAGAGGGAAATTTCACTCAGAGCACTTTCATTCAGCCATCCCCAGATTTCCCTGTAAGTCTTGCTAAAATTTACTATTTGGCAGCTCTGGCTGTGGGCACAACACTATCTATCTATCTGCCTATCTATCTATCTATCTATCTATCTATCTATCTATCTATCTATCTATCTATCTATCTATCTATCTATCTATCTATCTGTCTAATCTATCTATCTGTCTGTCTATTTACCTATCTATTTGTCAAATAGTCTGTCCATTTTTCCTACGCAGCACTTCAGTGACTTCCTCATAACAGTTTGGTCTCTTAATTGTTGTGCAGTTCATTGTTCCAAAGGGCAGAAAGGTTATTCTGCTTCAGATCTCAGAGTTAAGGCAGACAAAAGGAAGTGGGTGTGAAGTAGCTTGTATGTGCACTGTGAAAACCTGGTGCCCTTTCTATTTATAGCCCTGCTTGAACTTTCATTCATTTAGTTGCTATTTTGGTATGATAAACATTCCATCTCCTGGGGAAAGTACGTTAGCAGTGCAGGTGAACGGGAGGGAAAACACATGGGTCACGCAGCAAATATTGAATGGCCTGGAAACCACTGCCATTCCCAGAAAGCATATAGAACCAAAGTGATAYTGAAGGGAAGCTCCCTCATTCAGCTAACAGTCACAGCAATGCTTTGAGGTAAACCCAAACTTTTCATTGACTTCATATCCTTTATTCTATTTTAAATCAAAGCAATTGTTATTGTGTCTCTTCTCAGTGGCATATGTTTGATAAAAGGGATACACTTGATCACTTATCCCATGCTCTCCTTTCTGGGTATAGAGCTGCCTGACAAGGGGAGCTTTCTATTGCTGACCAAGTGGGTTTCTTTAGCTGATCAGTGTCTCACATCTGTCTGTTATAAAAATTGTTTGTTCTCACCTCCTTTTCTCTTTCGTATCTACTATGAGTTGTACCCACCAATACAGACCTCAAATGCACACTCAAATGAACCCCTTTGTGGACCTCACTGAAGTTTACCTGCTGAACAGGTGAACAGTCTGGCCATTGGATTCAGTCAAAGCAAATTGTTGAAAGAACATTCTGAACATGGTTTGGTGTAGCCTATACTTTGAGGTTTCCCATGAGGCACATCTGAAAGAAGCCAGAAAGGTTTGTTATGAATTGTGAGTGCTTGGTCTGRCAACTTCAAAAATACTGCAGAGCAAGCTGGGAGAGCAAACTGAACAGGTGAGAGCTCACTGGGTCTTGAGGCAAACATTTTCATAGAATCCTTTGGTAGCCTGAATCCCACTGAATTRCTGAGAAATCAAGAGACTTGGCATGTGTCACTTAGTGTGTAACAAGTTACAGATAGAAACATTGTGGGCACTGGGGCTGCTGAAGGTCTCCCTCCAGCTCAGGGGAAGCATTACCTGAAAAGTGAGCCCCTGCTCTGCAACCAGGTATYTCTGGTCTTTATTTCAGCCAGGGACTTGCAGGACACGTGCTGGGCCTATAATATTACCACCAGGCTGYTTGGTTTTGGAGTCCTTGCAGAACTTCTCTGGGTATCACTGGCATGAGGATTTAGGTGCCCTTTCACCTGGCACTTACCCCCAACTCCTACTCACCATCCATTTCCTTGYCTCTCCCTCCTGCACAGTGGTCTCTGCACCTCAGCTGGGCCAAGGGGGAGCCCACAGCAAGAAACTGCCCTCACCCCCCTACCTTACCCCAGGGCCTGGCCTACAGCTGCCAAAAATCTGCTAGTCAGTGAATTGAATAACTACTCTTGGTACACATATTTTCTTCTGGTTAGGGAGGCAAATTGAGAATTCTTGCCTAGTCCTGACAGATACTGAGGACACAGATGGAAACAGTATTCACTTCAAGCTGTTAGGTGTTTAATAAGAACAGCTGAATGCACTCAGTGATTGTGAGCCAGAGGAGCTGCTTTCTGTTTAGCACAGGGAAGGTGACCCAGTCATTGCATGGGGCAGAATGGATGTGGTCAGTTCCCATGACCAGTGGAAACAGTAGAGCTACGAGTCTCATTTGAAGAAAACAGGGAACCCGTTACTTTGACTTCCCTCTAATTGCACATGAGTTTATCTGAAGAGGTGGGAAGGTCTTTCACTAGATGAAATAATAAAAGAAAATTTCCTTAATCCTTCTCTGCATTTGSTTTGCAGAAGCAAAGAACTTTGCAAGCTGGTTGTTCGACAGGCATGGTGCTTTCCCTCTGTTCTGGGGTTAAGATCTGAGCGTTGAGGAGAGTCCTGTGACTCTGAAGGAAGATGTGTGTATTGATACTGCCATCTCCTCTGGCTTGAGCAATCCTGGACGTGGGGCGAGGTCATTCACACTTTCATGTGCTAGCCAGCAAGTTGGATTCTCACACCCTTATCTATTATACTGGCTAAGGCGTTGCTCTGTTTTCTCTTCTATCTGCATAACCAGGTGTTGAGCAACTGGAATGTCATTCCAGAAATTCTGACTGGCTTGGGTGTGTGCTCCTCACAGGAATTACTTCTGGGAATCACTTTGGAAGGCCAAACAATATGGTTTTCAAAAATTATGTTACTGTACAGTGTGCATTTAAATGAATTACATAATTTAGCCAAGCCTCTATTGCAGAGAAGCAGACTCCTCTGCCTGCTSTTTCAGAGGGTGACCCAGTTCCTAGAAGCTGTATGCTGTTTATATAGTTAGAGTGTTTATTTATACTGCCTATASGTGCCAGCAGGGAATTAAGAGTTATTTCATATTTTCTGTTGTTTCAAAGTTGTAGCAGCATTCTTCATCCTCTCACAGCCCCACATCTTCACAATTCAGCCCCATCATTCATTTCACTCAGCTACAAGCAGGACACATTTCCAAATGGAAGTRACACTGCAGCAGGCACAAATGTTGGGAGGGAGCAACCTTCAACATAGCTAAATACCATTTTCTACAGCTCTGGACAAAGCCCTGGCCTCCAGAGSAAAAGGATGATCAGAGTGAGAACAGGAAGGCCTGGCAAGCCAAAGAGCTGCCTCCTGCTGAGCTCTGGTCTCAGGGGAAATGCATGTGGAGGAGTCCCCAGCCATGGGCCATGGGCACCACARTGGCATCAGAGCCCCCAGACTGGCCCAGGCAGGTGCAAGGTGGGTGTGAGAGCATCCTTGAGCAGCCAACTCTGAGTTGTGTGTTTTTGCTGCATATTTTGGAACTGGCACTGACAGCTCAAGGGTCAGGACACAGAGAGGTGTCTCCTGAGGGAATTGCCCTCCACACTTTTGCAGGGACAGGCAGTAGAAACTAAGGGCCAAGTCCTGCTTGTACATACAGAGCTCCAGTGGCTGTTATCTGATGGCCCTGGGATAAAGCTGGCCTTGGATTTTAAATATGGTCCAAAGCTTGTTTATCTRTATCAGTCAAGGACATTGAAGTGAGGCTGTGACAGAAGAGAAACAGGCCCTTCAGATGGTATAGTTAATATTCTATAGCAAGCCAGCTAAGGGTGAGACAGCTGTTCTGAGTCATGGCAGCTGGCCAAAGCTGCAGAATATGAACAAAATCCATTCTGTATCTGTGTGCGGCACCAGGCTGGAGCAGCTTTTATAAAGGTTGACATTTCCATTGCATCTCGATGCTTCAGGGCTCCCTGAGCATTCACAGACATCGTGCCATCCTTGATGCTTGAAGTCCCTTTCAGTKAGGTGCAGTGACTGAGCAAGGTCCTTCTGGACATCTCCTGAGGTTTTGCACAGAGAGCAATGACAAGGTGAAAAGATCACACCTCCTTCCAGATCATGGCCACTCATGCAGCATTTCAATGGAGAATTATTCTACAATTGGTGGCACGACTTTTTGATATCTTGACATTTGGCCCAACCAAAGCATTTCTAATCAAAGATAAATTCAATTGCAATGGTAAGGGAAGCTGCCCATTAGAAACTCTGCCTGACAATTGCACCTTGTGTAGCTGGGATATGTTCTTAGCTCACTGTACAAGCACATTTCAGCTGTGCATTATGCAATTGCCATTAGCATTAATGAGTTACAAGGCTCATATASTGATACTGTTCCTAGAAACAGGCTGCCCAGGGATGTGCTCTTTTGGATTCGTTTGGGGAGTTAGATGGAGCACAGGGGCCCTGTGTACTTTGGTGCTCTATTGGATACCTGGATCCAAGCCCAGACAAGTGTCTSGACTTCAGCTGCAGATTTCAAAAGTAAAAATAAAAAAATGCTGACTATGGGGTCAATTTGGAATCTGGTTAGAAATAATGTCTCCCAAATACTTGTGAGTTTGATATCCAGCCTGATATAAGGATGGAGGGGAAAAATTAAAAAGCCGCAATTTAAAACCTACTGACTAAAAATGAAAATAAAATTTATCCCCAGACCATGAAGACAGCCTATCATGGAAACCTCATTAAATTATTGGTTTGGGTAGGATGAAAATTACTGTCAAATGCTAATATTTCTGTACCTGTATATAGAAAATASACTTAGAAGAAGACAGGAAGATCTGCAAGGGCTGTGAGTGCAGCTTTACCCATCTCTAATAGATCACTGAAATTGGCATTGGTTTCTAGTGACTGAATTTCTTACTTGTTTTTGGGCTAGCAAAGTAAAGCCCAGTTTTCTGGGGCTGGCAGAGATGAAGTTTGGGTCTCAGGCTTACGTTGTCTCTCCAAAGGCTATGCTCTCACCAAGGACCTTTTGCATGTCCGGACCAGGCAGTGGTGCAGCCATGGACTTAGCACACAGACTGGAACTGACTTTGCTGGTGCAAAACACAAACACCCTCAATTAGCTGTCAAAAATCCTAGCCAAGGTTTGAGATCCGTGATCTGCCTGGATGTGGCACTTCCTATCACACTCCCTGTAGCTGCTTCCTTGGGAGCCTGGCAGGCAGGAAGAGGATGGAGCTGCAGTTGAAAGGCACTGAATCAAAGGCAGCTGATTAACATCAGGACAGGCTGGCTGGGCACAGCTTTCTGGGTCGCACCCAGAGCTGGGGCACTGCTTTGTTTGCACCAAGCCTTGCAGGTGAGGGGCAGCCTGTGCATGGGGCACAATCCAACC